AGTGTGCAAAATATTAACAGATAGCATTTATTGAGCACCTATTATGTGGTAAGTATCCTGTGGACAATGAGTCATTTAATCATCAGATGGGTATCATTACTCAATTTGGCAACAAGCTAGGAAGAAGCATGCACAGTTGAGCTGCATAATGATGCATAAATGTCGGTAAATTAGACATTAAACTTCCAGGGCTGATCACTGGCCCTGGTTCCTTAGTTTGGCTTGGATGAATAAGACTATATTGCCAACAAGTTATAACATGTAATGAATCCTATTCCCCACTCCCCTAAGAGACAAAATATAAGTGACCATACAAAGCTGACCCAGGCCAAAATCAGAGACAATAAACATTTTTTAAGAGGCCGGCTCTGGGATTTTCATTTAAATTCAGTTTAGAGTGGGGAGGGATGTCGATCTCCTGTCAGAGCCAATTGCACATCTGGTGAGGTAGAATGTTCATCAGGATGCTGGAAGAGGCGACAGTAGGCCCTGTCACAGTGCTACCAAGGGGGGTTAGGACACACAGTCCATGTATCTGTAGAATGATGACCAAAGTACTTTTTGCTGTGGCTGCTTAACTAACTCCTAGTATAAAAATATTATCATCTATAGATGTAACCCAAGGAACATTAAGCATAGTTTAAAAAAAAAAAAGGTTAATCAGGCAAGGAAATGTGATTACTTCAGTCAAAAGAGAACTCAATAATTTTAAAGACCATCTGTTGCTTCAGGGCAGACCCTATCAATAGGAATAGAAAGCTGATTTCAGAATAAGTAACTTACTTTCTAACAAGGTAAGATTTGTTCATAGATGTTCTACTGCTTCTGTTACAAGTTTTTTCTACTTTCTCAGAAGAAACCCACAGAGGAGAGTTTGTTTTCTCTGTAAGCTGTTGGTAATGCTTAGCTACCCCGTTGGGCAACTCAGACAGGGAGCCAGTGCAACCTGGGTGTGTACGGGTGAAGCTGGGTTGACAGCAGAGGAGGCCTACGTTCAGGCTGAATCTTCTTTGGGATGTGATTGGTCTCTCTTCACTAAGCTGTCCTTCCTTCCTGAAACCATATTGAAAGGACCTATTGGGCTACTAGAAACTCCCAGGTGATCTGAGGTGATTCAGTTCTCTTTTTACAGTACCAATTCCTTCTCCAGCCTCACTTTCAGAGCAGATTCAGAAATTTTATTTTCTCAGTTCCACAGGACAGCCTACAAGACAACCTGTCAATGTGTCCCAACTACCTCAGTACCATTTTGGGAACATTCAATCTATCAACAGTGCCCTTGGAGCTTACAAACCTATTGAAGAGTAAACTGATTCCCAGACTTTCTAAAATCAGGACAGTGGTTCCCATCTGAAGGCAGAGTGGTTTGAGACCTGTCCCACCTCCTAGCCCTCCCTCCAAAGAGGGTTGTTCCAGCATCAGGCAACATTTTATTTTATTTTTCAATTACAGTTTTTGTATTACTTTCATGTGTACCATATAGTGGTTGGACAATCATATACTCCCCAAAGTGACACCCCCCCCCCCCCATATTCAAGTACCCACTTGGCACCATACATAGTTATTACAATATTATTAACCATATTTCCCATGCTGTACTTTACATCTCTGTGATTACTTTGTAATTACTAATTTGTACTTCTTAATCCCTTCACCTTTTTCACCCAACATTAGGGAGCATTTTATAGCCAGGCACAGAGAATCAGTTTTGGAGTCAGCTCTGTATTCAAAACCTAGATGCTCCAATTAGAGCTGTGTGAACTTGAGATAAATTCCTTAACCTCTGATTTAGGGATTAGAATGGTCTGCACCTCTTAGGAATGTTGTGAGGATTAAGTGAGAGATAATCTGCCATCTGTATGTCCTCTTTGAGAAGTGTCTATTCAGGTTCTTTGCTCATTTTTTAATTGGAATGTTGGTGTTTTTGGTGTTGAGTTTTATAAGTGCTTTATAAACTTGGGGTATTTTTTATCAGATATATCAGTGAATATGTTTTGCCATTCAATGGGTTGTCCTTCCATTTTGTTGATGGTTTCCTTTGATGTACAGAGACGTTTTAGTTTGATTTTCCCATTTTGTTTCCCTTGCCCGAGGAAACACATCAGAAAAAATATTGCTATGAGCAATGTTCAAGATTTTACTGCCTTTGTTTTTTTCTAGGATTTTTATGGTTTTGAGTGAACATTTAAGTCTTTAATCCATTTTGAGTTTGTTCTTGTGTATGGTGTAAGAAGGTGGTCTATTTTAAATTTTTTGCACATTTTCCCAACACCATTTATTGAATAGACTGTCTTTACCTCATTGTATGTTCTGGCCTCCTCTGTCAAATATTAATTGACCAAAAATGTGTTTGTGAACACTCAAACAATATACAGATGATGTATTATAGAATTGCACACCTTAAAACTATATAATTTTATTAACCAATTTTACCCTAATAAATTCAATAAAATAAAAAATAAAATGAGAGACCATCAGTAAAATGCTTATTCTGTTACCCATCTCTCAGTAAGCACACAGTGAACAGTTGTCACCATGACACCCTTTGTCCCCATTTGAAACCACAGCAATTGGGTTTAAATGCTAAGCTACTTATTCTGAAAAGAAGTTTCACCTACAACTAGTCCTGCAGAAAAACTCACATTGAAGTTACTTGTCCTAAACACTACATCTTCCCTCCTTCCCCGCAATTGTCTGCACAGCAACAGTCCTTCATTTCAGCCTCCCTGTTGACCTTTGCTCTCCAGTTACAGGATGTCAACTCAAATCCAGATGGAGGGTGAAAATCCTTGTAAATTCTAGGCCCAAGAGTGTCTAGTTGCAAATGGTTATAGCATCATGGTTAAGACTAAGCATGTACTTTTTGAACTGAGACCTAAAGAGGAATCACTTCCCTCACTTCCCCTTTCACCACTTCGTCTTAAGTTATATGTCCAATTTAGCCAGTTGAACCTACTTTCTCATTTACACAAAGAGATTAATACCTAAATAAGTAGTTGAAAGGATTAAATGAGATGATATTTATATCTGAGGTTCTTAGCACAGTGCCTAGCAAAGAGTAGAAGCTCAAGCCATCACTATTGAGTCCAATTAAAAAAATGCAAGGTGACTGCGGTCTTTTTGGTGCATTGAAACTAGCAAATTTTTGAAACTGTAATCAAAAGATAAGCTCTGCAAACAAACATTGGTGAATATACATTCTGCTTAATAAGGTGAACATTTCAACAGGCTTATGGAGCTATGCTCACAGTTCACTACTTGGCCTATTCAGAATTCTCATCTTTTTTTCACAAGAATTATGGTGTCAGCCAGGCAACATGCACACTACTTAAAATGAGTCATTTTATATTAAATGAGCTGCTTCTAGGAAGGAAGCAGGGGGAAAGAACCAACTTTTGGTAACCTGTAGAATATTACTATGGTGTGGCTACTATTAACCCTCTTTCTTAACTAAGTGGTGAAACACGACTAGGTCAAAAGTGGATAAGAGAAGCAATAACGGTCAGAGACAGAATGTGATGGCAAGTCTGTCTGAGCTAGAAAGTCCATCATTTTACCCGCTTCTGTTGGCACTGACTTCCGTTTCTCAGGTTTGTTCAAGAGCACTCCTCCTAAATAGGGTTCTCAGGAAGCCGTTGTTGAACTAAAGAGCATTTACTGCCATTCAACGGAACAGGATTTTAGTCCGTTATAAGGATTGTAAAATTTGGCTGTCCTCTCGCTTTTCCAGCGGTGATAAAAAAGAAAGAAAGAAAGAAAAAGCGATAGCCACTCCATTACAGTGACTACCCATTCAGTCTGCCCGCTTGAAACACTCCAGGTAGATTAATTTTTCAATTATGATTCACCTTCCCTTTCCTGTTTTGATGGAACACGGAGAATGAACCATTCCTGTCAATAAAGACGCTCGAGTTTCCACCCCGCAAATTCGCGCTCGAATGACAGTCTGAACGGCTGACGCGCAGGTGGGATTTCCTGTCGCCATTTTAAGGAAACACAACTCCCCTGCAAGGAAGTGCCCGGCCCATTAAAAGGGCTGAAACAAAGAGTAAGCAAAAGGGAAACGGGCCCAGCTGTCCAGTCCCCCCCATCCTGCTTCTCTGCTCGCACTGCCCCCCAATTTGGAGCGTCCCTGCTCAGTTAACCCCAACGTGCCCAGCTCGCGGGGCGGAACCACGTGGCTCTCCAGGCTGGGGAGGGGCCGGCCTCTTCGCGCCTAGACAGGTGCGCGCTGGAGCTCAGCACATCCTCCGGGTAGTGTCACACCCAGTCCCCAGTACAGGCTGCACAGCACGGATCTCAGGAGGGCTGGCGCGGTCAGGCTGCAGGTTCCGGGAGAGGGGAGGCCCCTCCCACTGCGGGTTAGAGACAAAGGCTTTCCGAAGATGCCCGCCTCGCTGCCCCAGCACCTCGGCCCCCTTCCCGCCAACCCAGGCGGTCACGGTCTGTACCATCTGTACCCGGAGCCAACACACCGCTTCATCGCCACCCGCAGCTCCAGGTGGTACAGCGGCTCGAGGGGCCCGCGAGGACCAGCCACTCCCGCTGCCATCCTCACTCTGCGTCCTTCCCACAATGCAACGTCCCTCCCTGCGGCGGCTTGTCAGGACTCTGGCGTACCCCAAAACGCGCCCCCAACTGCACAACCTTCCTCTCCTCCTCCTGCGCCCCCTAGACTCCCCATATCCATCCCCAAGGGTTCCCATTCTCCAGCCGCCGCCACAGCCCGGTTCTGGGCTCGCGGCCTGGCCCCAGGAGGGCGTGGGGCAGGTGTCCAGGCTGCACGCAGCCTCCGCTCCCGCTGCCGCCGTCGGAGCGCCGGGCTTAGGCGTACCGCGCAACCCCTCCCTCACCCCTTTCCCGATGTTCAATCTCCGCCAGCCGCGATCGCTGCATCCTCAGCGAGAGGCAAGAGGGGGACAGCAGGCGCCGCCGCCAGCAGAGACACCATGTGACCAGCACTGCACAGTGACACGAGTTTGGTTAAAGAGCGGGCGCGCGGTAGGGGAGGTGACGGCGCGCCGGACCAGGAGGAATGGCTTGACTTTCCCTGTTAAACCATCACAAACCATGGATGCGCACGGGCGACGCGGCCCCCAGTAGGAGAATGACTACGATTCGAGACCCTCAGCGCCCGAGCGTGTCGCAGTAAGTGCGAGGCTGGCGGGCAGTGTGTGTGGGGAGGGTGGGGTAGGGGGTGGGGAGGGGGGTGGGGGGGACTCTGATGCAATCCGCCCCTAAAAGAGGAGGAGAGCCAGGGGAGCTGGGCTGAGGTAGCCACGCCGCTCTGTCTGAAGGTCGCCGGGAACCTCCGCCCTTCACCTTCCTAGGAAATCCGCCACGCCAAGCTTCCCCGCCCAGCGCTCGCGGGCAGAGGCCACGTTTTCCCGGCTGAGGCAGCTAGACCTTGACACAAAGGACATCACACGGCCGGGAGTAAAATCCGGCAGGGCGGACACCTTGACGTCTCACCTTTTGACACTCTCCCCTTTATTGCCCGAGGTAGGGTGATTTTCCTGACTCGGGATTGCTGAGGGAGCGGCAGCGGGAGGAAAGGGATGCTGGAGATGTGCGAGGGGTGGCGGTAACGTAGAACTCGTCCGCGCCGGTCGGAAAGGAAGGGGTGTGCGGCTGTACCGAATGCGTTTGGATTTTGCTTTGGGGAAAGGAAAAGACTAGGTCTCCTGTTGTTCCGAATGCACGTGGCAGCGTAGGCAGACGTAGAGGTTCCTGATTTCACCTGGCTGTGGCTTACTTTTTGGTTCTTTTCATAGTGGCAGCGTGTGGCACCCGACCTAGTTAAATTATACGAGGGTCAGGGGTGTGCTGGGAGAGCGCAGCCGATGTGAGGGCGCGACTGCATACCCGAGGAGTGATTGTATCCCGGGGATTTGGGGTAATTCCGTGTCCGTAGGGCCCAGAGGAGAGCGTGTGATGCCCCCAAGGATGTGCGTGCGACCGGCTTGATTTCCAGGACTGGCCGCCGAGCCCCAGTAAACCCGAGCACGTTTGCCGCCCCTTAAGCTCTGCCCCTATCTCAGTAACGGAGAGGAGTAGGAGGAAGCCGGGGATAGATTGCTAAAGGATGCTGGCAGTGACTTACTGTTCTTTCCCGCCCTGGAGAGGTTCTTTCCAAAATCAAGAAGGGAAGAAAGAGAAAAGTGCTGTTTGGGAGCTGGGATTGCTGGAGCTGGCAAACAAAAGACCACCGCTTGCTTGGGGCCCAGGCTCGGACTGTCTCCCTTCCACATCACCTCCTCGCCCCATCCTGGCACCTCTCTCGTGTCCCTAAAAATGTTGGCACAAAAGGCCTTTAGACTGGCCGCGGCGGTGCGGGGAGAAAGCGCTCCACCACCCCAGTGTGAGTCCTGGGGCGAGCCGCCCCCCCATCCACCTCCCAGGGCGTCGAGCTCCTCAGCACCCCTGGGATCCTGCACGATATGGGGCTGCCGGGGCTGCCTGCAGAATCTCCCGCCTTTGTAGTTCGGCAGAACTAGTCAGAGATGGTAGAAGTGCTTATGGCGGCAAAAGGAATTTCGCGGTAACAGCGTCACGGCGTTTCCGGTGCCTTTCACAGGCTGTCTTGGGCTGGGGAGGGTGGTGCTACAATTGAGAGTCCTTTGTGTCTCGCTCTGCGGCGCAGACCCAGTTTTTATCGCACCGGTTCCCAAGTGGAAACCTAACCGCCGCCAGGATAACGTCCTTTCTCAGATGAATCCATGGTGATGTATGTAGTAAGAGGAGAAAAGACCCCAGAGCTAGGAAACGTGGCTATGGATTTGACATCTCTGCGGTGGGTTTAATTTTTTTTTTAATATAAGGAGGAGGAGAGACTAAATCAATGGTTTGCAGACTGCAGGGCCCAGCAAGGCTGTAATTTGTCACCTTGATGGAAGAAACTGTGCAGCAACTCGTGCTTGTTCTGACGTCAGACAACGGAAAGAAAACCTGAGCTAGGTGGCTGGCTGCCCTCATTGTTAAACATCTCACGCAGGTTTGGAACACATGAAATCTATGTGAAACAGGTCGAGGCACTGATCCTTTGCGGGCTCCCTTGTGGGATTTTGGTTCAACCCTAACCTCAAATAAATGGCTTTGCTCTTCAGTCATTACATTTCTCAGTATGTTGCCTTAGGCATCTGGAAACCCGCCTAGTTTAGTTTGAGGTCTTAACCTTGATGAGGTTTATTCACTTTAAAAAAAACACAAAAAACATATTCAGTAAATATTTCCGGGGGGAGGGGGCTTATTTTGTGGCAGGCAGTAACTAACAAGATACAGTTCCTGCTTCTGTGAGGCTTCTATTCACATGGGGAAACAGGCAATAAATGCAAGGATAAATGAATATCAGATATTTATTAGTACGATGGAGAAATAAAACAGGGTCATGTGGTGAGGGAGGGTGCTTGAGGTAGATGACCTTCTAGGAGTGCCTGTGTGAGAGGGTGACATTTGTCCTGAGACTAGGAGTCCAGGTATCAGGCTATTGCTAGTCTTGTCTTTTCCTCACTCTGGATGATACTTGAGGGCAAAGCCAGTATTTCTCATAATTGTTCCCCTAATGTTCAGCAGAGTAGCTACTTAATAAAATGCTTGTTGGATTGAGATCTTGGCCAACATCCATCTCATTAACTTCTTTATGCTATTGTTGACCATCCCTTTTCTACATCTCATTATTCGTTCCTCTTCTTCTAAGTTGAAACATTCATCTTTGTCTACTTTGCTTCTCTTTCTCTCTTACCTTCTCCTCACTTCTGAGCAGTTGCCAGGCCCTTGCAAATGCCCCTCAAACCTATCTTCTCATCCCCAGTCCCACTGTCCAAGTTCAAGTCCCTGTCACCTGACCTAGACATGGCAATTCAAGTAGGGTGTTGGGATACAAGAATCATGAAACAGATATGGAGGTGCCCTGAAGAAACCAGCACTCAGGGGAGGAAGATGCAAGTGCAACACGTGGTTAAGAGTGAAATAGCGAATTGATGAGGTATAACAGCTTTCTAGTGGGTCTTCTCCATACCAAGCTCCCCTAATGCAATCTCGGCACTTCCATGGTATCTGTATATCTAAAACTCATTTTGTATTTTTTAATGACCTTCTAAAAACCTTCAGTGGATTCCCATTGCCTACAATTAAAGTATAAATTCCTTAACCAAGCACTGAGCACCCTCCATAATCCAACTCCTCACCTCTCTTCATCTCTGTCCCAGTTCACCTGCTGCCCTCCCTGTCACTTTTCTGCCTCGATGTCAGTGTTGATTCCAGACTGGAATGCCTACTAAATTTCTATATATTTGTGAAGTCCTAGCCCAAATGCCAGTTTTCTACCTCTTTGAATAAGTGTCCACTGGTCACCTTTTATCATTTTCTTAAAGATGTGTTACCTTTTATGGGTTGCACTGTTGTCACTCCAGGTGATGGACTGTGGGGGATAAGGCCACAGGCTTTGAGTCAAATGTAAATATAGTCAGCCCTTGGTATCTGGAGGTTCTGCATCCCTCTATTCAACCAACTGCAGATATAAAAATACTTTTTATTTATTTTTCTTTATTATTTTAGAGAGAGAGGAAGAGAAAGGGAGAGAGAGAGAAATATCATTGAGAGAGAACATCATCTAGCCACCTCCTCCATGCCCCTCACTGGGGATCGGGCCCACAGCCTGGGCATGTGCCCTGATCAGGATCAAACCGGTGACTTCTTGGTGCATGGGTCAATGCTCAACCACTGAGCCACACCGGCCAGAAAAAAATGCTTTTAAAAACGTTATGTTGTTGCTGATGTGAGTTAAGCCTACCAGGGTTGCATCTGTATTGAACATGTACAGACTTTTATTTCTTGTCATTATTTCCTCAACAATACAGTATAACAACTATTTATATATTACTTGCATTGTTTTAGGCATTGTAAGTAATACAAAGATGATTTAAAGTATATGGGAAGATGTGCTTAGGTTATATATGCCATTTATATATGGGACTTGAGTTTCCATGGATTTTATTTATTTATTTAAAAAAATTTTTTTTCTTTATTGATTTTAGAGAGAGGGGAAGTGAGAAGGAGAGAGAGATAGAAATATTGATGAGAGAGAACATCAATTGGCCGCCTCCTGCATGCTCTCCACTAGGGATTTGGCCCACAATCTGGGCATGTGCCCTGATCGGAATCAAACTGGTGACCTCTTGGTGCTTGGGTCGATGCTCAACCACTGAGCCACACCAGCCGGACCTGCTTCCATGGATTTTTATGATCCACATGGGTCCTGGAACCAGTCCTCCTAGAATACCAAGGAATGACTGCATCAGGTCTTAACTAACCAGCCTAGGGACTTTGGGTAAGTTGGTTAGCATCTCTAAACTTCAGGGTTTTTGTGTTTTGTTTTGTTTTTTTCATTTGTTTAATGGGAATAATGATGATAATGGTGATGATGGTGGCAGTAGTGGTATCCATCTTATTGAGTTATCCTGAAGATTCAATTAAGATAATGGATGTGAAGTGCTTGGCATGGTGTTAGCACTCCATATATATTGAACTACAAAGAACTTCAGGTTTCTCATCTATCATAGGGAGTGAGGAAAGTTGATCAGTAAAGTTCCCCTTACCTCTGATGTTCTATGGCTATTTAATAATTTAAAAATACTTTTCTGAAAATAATATCTTGATGGAAACTACCTGAAAGTCTCTGGGAAAATATGCATTTGTGAAAGGTGTGTGCAGGTGGGGAAGTATGTGCATGAAATACAAACACATCCAAATCACATCATAGCCTTCAGAAAAACACACCTGGGAACGCTGATCCTAAACGAAATCATTGTTATACTTCTAAAGTTGATCACGTTATATTACCTGGTTTTCTAGTGGCCACTTGTGTGTTAGGTTACTCACTAATAGTAAAGGAATTTAGTGATTAGGAATGCCCCATGGTTTGGGGAAAATGCAGGCACTGGGGTTGTAATCAAGGAACTGCCTCAAGTGAAGTTACAGTGTGTCTTTGGCAGTACACTGGGGCAACTCATTTAACTTTATTTATTTATTTATTTATTTATTTATTTATTTATTTATTTAGGTACATGCCCCTAGCAGGAACCAGACCTGGGATTCTCTGGTCCTCAGGCTGACGCTCCAACTGCTGAGCCAAACTGGCCAGGGCTCATTTAACATTTTTATACCTTATTTCTCATCGGTCTTATGGTAATAATTGTGTCTGAGCTGCCTAAGTCACAGAGACGTGAGGATACAATGAGAACAGAACCTAGAAAATCCTTGAACGAGTTAAAGGAACTATTCACGATGATAACCATTTGAGGTTAAACACACTGCTAATGTTTGGAAGACAGGTTTAGATTAGTGATTCTCAACTCTGACTTCACATTGGTCTTACCTAGAGTTCTTTAAAGTTATAATGCCCAGACTCCATTTCCAGAAATTTACATTGAGTCAGCTTGGGGTAGAGCCCAGATATGGGAATTAAACACACACACGCACACGCACACGCATACACCACAACA